CTAATGATATTATGACAGGTACTCTTTTAATTTATGGTTTTGAAGCATTCGTATTATTTGATCCTGGAGCTGCCAATGCTTTCTTTTTTTGAATTTTGTGTCAAAATTGAATAGACCTTGTGAAATAATGTTAGATCCATTAATAGTGACCACTCCTTTAGAAGAAATTTATACAGCAGAGTTTGTCTATACGTTTTGTGTAGTTCAAATTAACCATCAAGAGATATTGATGGATTTGGTGTTATTGATGACATTAGGATTTGATGCAATATCAGGAATGGATTGGTTATATGATTGTTACGCCAATGTCGATTGCCACTATAAATATATAGAATTTAAGTTTCCCAAAAAGTCCTCTTTATTATCTAAGCACATAGAAGCCCGTGCAATAAGGGAATTTGGCGGGAGTCACTAGGGTAAAAACAAGATAGAATTTTTTGGCATCTGCAGTAGCTAAGGAGGATGCATTTATGGAGGAAGAGGTTCTAGATATTAAAAAAGTGCCAATAGTTAACGAATTTGAAAATGTGTTTTCGAAAAAATTGCCAAGGTTGGCCTTAGAAAGGGAAGTTAAGTTTTGCATTAATTTGATTCCTGGCATGGAACCAATATCCGAAGTCCCTTACTAGATGGCACCAGTAGAGATACGAGTACTGCGAGAACAATTGTAAGAGTTAGAGGGAAAAGGATTTATTTGTCCAAGTACTTTGCCATGGGGAGCTCAGGTATTTTTGTAAAGAAAAAGGATAGAAGTTTAAGGTTATGTGTGGATTATCAAAAGTTGAATAGTGTGGCTATTAAGAATAAATACCCACTTCCCAAGATCGATGATTTATTCAATCAACCGTAAGGAGTGCGATATTTTTCAAAAATTGACTTACGCTCTGCATATCATCAATTAAGAATTCGAGAAGAGGATATACCAAAGATCTCATTTTGTACGAGGTACGAGCATTTTGAGTTTTTGGTGATGACCATTGGTTTAACCAAAGCTCCCGTCGCTTTTATGGATTTAATGAATAGACTGTTTTAGGCCTATTTGGATAGATTTATGGTGGCGTCCATTGATGATATCCTGGTGTATTCTCGAAGCCCCAAAAAACATGCAGAACATTTAAGAATGGTGTTGCAGACACTCTGAAAACACGAATTATATGCAAAGTTCTCTAAGTGCACTTTTTGGTTAAAAAATGTTAGCTTTCTCGAACATGTAATATCGAAGGAAGGGATTAATGTGGATCAGCAAAAGGTTGCATCGATTCAAACTTGGTTAAGACTGGGAACAGTTACTGAGGTTTAAAGTATTCTTGGATTGGCCGGGTATTACCATTGATTTTCTTAGATGTATCTCACTTGTTCTCAATTCTGCATTTACTTATATAAAGTCTTTGGCCAAAACATGATGAATTTGAGGAAAGTTAGTTTTTTAAATTCATAAAGTTAGTCATGAATTTTGAGAACTAATATGGAATATCATAAGAAGACACTGAGCCATGTTTTATGACATATCCGGGATATTTGATGAAAGGACTGTATTGCACTAAAAGGTTTATCATTGAAAGGCTTTGTCAATTTTTTTAATTGACTCTTTAACATTTGGATGGTCATGATGTATTGCTAGATGCCGCTCATGATCTATAAATATAAATCAATTATCAATTATCAATTTGATATTTGATTAAGATTTACATTTATTGCCAACATGTTAGAAACCTAATAGGTCACACACATTAAGTGCCTTAATTGAGATTAAATAAGGATAATTCATTAAGTTGGACTTAATTAGAATAGACTAAAATAAAGTAAAAAATTAATTAAGTTCACAAGGACTTAATTGAATTAAAATATAATTATTGTATCTAGGGTTACAACTTAGTTTGGCTATATAAATATGTTGTATTACCAATTAAAACTCTAAGTCTTCAATCACTTTTTACCTATTTCATAATATTAGGAAAAAGAAAAATAGTTTTCTCTCTTTGATAGAAATAAAATTTGGCAAGAACTTTTAGTCCTTTTTGTTTTAGAAATGATACTTGCTAGCACAAGTAAAATTTTATCTTAGAGAACGTCTTATTCGATCACCATGTGGATTACTTTTAGAGGCTAAACACTTGGGTGTCTGAAGATTTGATAAATCTTAAAGGTGAAGAAGCAAAGATTTTGACTATTGGATTTTATACCATTTTATTTTCTTTTTGGGTTACTTGCTTCATCACAAGCCTTTTGGATTTAATTGGCTTTTAATTACGATATTTAAAGCAAGGTATGTAACTCTTAAACTTATAAATGTTCATGATTAATATGAAAATTACATAAAAAAATACAAACATTGATCTCGTGGGATTTTGCTATTTCTTTGATTAAATGCATAGTTTTATTTTTTCGCTGCATTATATTTTAATTTCTTAATTATTTTCATATTTGAGCATGAGGCCAAATTCCAATAATACAAAGCTTGGGAGAGATACAAGGACTTACTTAAGCGTTACACTCATCATGGTTTTGCGAAGTGGCTCTAAGTTCAGACATTCTATAATGGGTTGAGTTGTCATGTTTGGCGACATCCATTGATGAATCATATAATCTATTGGAGGAAGTGGCAACGAACAACTATCCATGGCCATTTCAAAGATCAATGCAAAGAAGGGTAGTTGAAGTTCACGAGGTAAATGGTATCACTACAATAATAGCACAATTGCTGCCCTTACTAAGAAATTTGATTCTTTTAGTGGTCATTTAGTTCAAAGTTCTATTTTTTCTTGCAATTATTGTGGAGATGGGCAAGTAAGTGGTTAGTGTCTAGGTAGTATAGAATCGCTTCAATTTGTGGGGAATAGGCATTAGAATAATCCCCATTCCAACACTTATAATCTTGGGTGGAGGAGCCATCTAAATTTTACTTGGGGTAATAATAATCACGGTTCTTTTTCAACTCTAAACCTTGATATTTCTCTCGGATTTCAACCTCTAGCATGAGCTCTTATGCTAGAAAAGAAATCATTTGTAGAGGAGTTACTTGTGTAGTACATGGCTAGGATCGACTCCCTCATTCATAGTCAAGCAACTTCACTAAGAAATCTTGAGACACAAGTTGGGTAGATGGCCAGCACCATAAACAACAGGGCACAAGGAACCTTACCTAGTGCCACAGAAGCTAATTCTAGGAGAAAAGGTGAGGAAGGTAAGGAACATGTCAAGGCCATTACTTTGAGGAGCAGAAAAGAGGTTGAAAGCAATCCTAAGCATGCTAAACAAAAAAGTAATTCAGTAGAGCATGAGAGAATGATTGTGAATGCTGATAAGCAGAGTCAAGAAAAAGAATTGAAGATAAACCCACCATCACCACCCTTTCCTTAATGCTTTAAGAAACAACAACAAGATAGTCAATTTCAAAAATTTTTGGATGTATTTAAAAAGCTTTAAATCAACATTCTGTTTGCAAAAGTTTTAAAGCAAATTCCATCATATGTAAAATTTTTAAAGGACATTTTGAGAAAGAAAAGAAGATTGGGTAAATTTGAGACAATGGCACTCTTTTAGGAGTGCAGTGTGATCATTCATAATAAGCTTCCATTAAAGCTTAAGGATCGAGGGAATTTTTCTATTGGTAGTTTTAAAATTTCTAAAGTTTTGTGTGATTTGGGTGTTAATGTTTCAATAATGCCTATGTTTATTGCTTGAAAATTTTGATTTTAGGAGATTTAGCTTATTACAATTATGTTGTAATTAGCAGATAGATTGATTAGGTACCTTGTTGGGATTATAGAGGATATGTTGGTTGAGGTTAGGCATCTTTACATTTTGGTGGACTTAATTGTGATTGAGATGGCTGTGGAAATTCCTCTAATCTTGAGACAACCATTCTTGCTAATTGCAGATGCAGTCATTGATGTGAAGAGAGGTAAGATAATTTTTAAAGTTGGAGAGGAGGTATTCGAATATGATATTTTCAATGCAATTACGGTTCTTGCCTCTATAGATAGTTTCTATAAAATGGATTTAATTTATGAAGGCAAGGGTAAGCCTATTTCTTTGCCTACATGTGAACAACCACTAAACTTTTAGTTAAGGCCACCACCTCCATTTATTAGAGCCAAGCAGTCACATGAGAAGCATCTTCCACCACCTCCTAGTTGTCCTGATTTTGAAGTTAGATAGCAAGTGTTACTCTCTAATTCACGCTTCAAGCTTTTTCCTTAGCAACACAAAGCAAGATGTTGGGTCCTTTCAATGTTGTAAATGTTTATCCTTGTGGTATAATAGAGATTGATAGTAAGGATACTAAAGCATCATGGTTAATGGACTAAGCCTTAACCTTTATTTTGTGGATGAAGAAGTGCAAAAAGGGGTGCCATAGTTAAGCTAGTGACTATAACGAAGCGTTTCTTGGGAAGCAACCCAAGTTTTTGAGACTCGTATTCTTTTTATTTGAAGTTATTCTTTTTCATATTTTTCCATTAATTTGTTTTTATTTTTTTTAATTTAGAGTTTTGTCACCTCAATGGATCCTTGCAATAACTTTGGATATAATGAGGATGAAGCGGAAGATTAGAGGATCTCTACTACCTCGGGGAGTGTTCTCGACTTTTCTTCTTTACATTTTAACATTGAGGACAATGTTACTTCTAAATTTGGGGGTGGGGGATAACTTTTTAATTTTGAAGCTTTATTTTCTTTTTTTTGCATTATGTTTTTAGACCTGAAGTTTGGTTATGTAACGATCGCTCCTCAATCGCTACCAGCGTCTGTGTCTCGCAGGAGAACCCACTAAGTCCAGAACAAGCCTTACTTAAAACGTTAGCTATTACTTCATAATCATGCCATCCATCCATGAAATTACTTTGATCCATAAAACTCTTTGTAATAAGAATTGAACAATAATCTTTATAAATTGACTAAACCTTTATTCCACGTAATCGTAAAAATAATACATCAAGACTTAAAATCTCTAAATGTACATTTGTATTGACATTAATGTCTAATTTCATAACAAGTTACACTATGACAACTCGACCTGTAGCAGTGGAGCAACTAAGAATAAAGTGCTATGAGATGCGTTTACCTATTCGCAATGGACTGCAAATGTCGTTGAATGCACGTTAGGTTGATCACTATCTGCAAAAGGGAAATAAGGGGGTGAGTCTCACAGACTCAGTGATCATCAGCTCCGTGAGCAGAGCGTAAATGGAAAACAAGCTTAAAGTAGATAAGTTGAATAATAAAATTGGAATATCAAATCAAAATCTTAAGAAACCAAATAGTAGTTAAGATATTTGTGCCTTGCAAAAATAATGTCGTAAAATCATAATGCAACATTTCACTTGGCAAAACAATGCTGAAAACAAGTGTAGCAAAACAAAGTTCAATCATCAAAAATATCACTTGCCATCAAACTATGAATAATAGTATAAACGTATGCACACTCCCAAAATGTGTGGCATGTAAAGAATTCAAAGTGCATAGCCACATAAACCCTTTCATGATTGTCAAGTAAGCACTGAAAGCTTTTATTCAAACAAGGGGGGCTACAAAGAAAACTTAACTCTCCACCATGCAAAAGAGTACACATCGAAAAACTCACAAGGCTCTGGAGTAAGTTAGTATCATAATCACCCGTGGACCTACTTCCTCGTAATAGCATCCGAGAGGTCTGCTCCATCGGATCCCCATAGCCATGGCAATCTCAACGATGTTGGCTGACATTGGAGAATCAAGCGGTCGCAACCGCGAATATCACTTGTGTCCTAGCCATATATAACAACCCGTGGCCTTGCCATGTATATCATATACTATGGCCCCAGCCATGTCTAATAGCCCGTTGGTGACCCAAAGGTTCTTTGGCTAGAGCTCACTTACGCACAAGGGTCACACTTAACCAAAGTGATAGCCAACCTACTCTCGACACTCTCAGTTTATCAAAACCATTTTTAAAACCAAATCGGGTTTTTCCAAGGCTTTTCTTTTTAATCATTTAAAATCAAGGTTTGATAACCTTTTGAAATTACTTTTCAAGTTAAATGGCACGGTGTAATCACTTGTACAAAGATCGAAATAAAACCAAATCTCAAAACTTGCATTTTAAATCATTTAACAAATTCATTTAGCTATGCATATCACAAAAAAATACAAGGCATAGATTTTGATGTAAATATCATGAAAGGCTTATTTCTCGATTTCTAAAACTCTTTACATACATGGTTTATCTATAGTTATATCCAAAACTCATTTCAAAACAATATGCATCCACAAACTTCCTATGGTTTCTACCAAGTCATGCTTTCCACAATAGCAATATATAAATCGTTGTAAATCTATTTTAAATTGCCTAACAAGGCTAACAGCTCATGCTATGCACAATTACACTTAAAAAAACTATCAATGTCTACTAGTGTATATCAATATATAGAGCACAAAGATTTTAAAATAGGCACCCCCTACTCACCTTACAATTGTGGGACACTACATCGCTATCAATTCGGGTGCGTATCTAGCTAATTCTACTCATCAGTTACCCGTTACCTCCTTCTGCATGCCACCACAGCACACTTCCTTTACTTTTACACTTCTTAATGGTTATACAAAGACATCACACTTAATTATTCACATGCATGGCAACACATCAATCAATAAATCCATAGCCGAATTTCATAGTTCTCATCAACCTTACTCACAATCATTTAATACACAATCCACATACAATCAACTAAACAAAGCCAGCACAACACCATGAATTCACATTGCATGCTTACCTTTCGATTTTAACTTGAGTTCCACATATAATCCACCATTCGTCACATTCTCTATCACCACTGCTGCCACAAGCATAAACAATTAGCACACAACTCATTCTGTTGTCTATTTGTGATTTTAAAACTAAAGTACTCACCCATTGCTTATCTAGCTCCAAAATCAACATGCGTTCCAAGATTAACCCACATGCTTGCATCTATTTCTTTCAAATCTTGGAGGACCTTTGCTACCACAAACATACTCACACAATTACCAACTCATTTCCTCAAGAAATCATAACCAAAATCAAGGTTCTACTTACCTTCCTTAGCTTGGAATCACTAGGCCAAACCTCCCATGCCTTCCTAAAGCTCCAACCATGGCATGCAAGAGAAAACCTTTCGGTTTTTCTCCCAACTTCCACAAAACTGAGCCTCTTCCAAGCTCTTTTCACTCAACTTTTTCTCTCCTCCCAAGTGGAAGCCTCACAAGGCTATTTTCCTTCCATCGCTCTTCCGAATGGGCAGATCTCTCACGGAACTCACTTGTTTTCTTCACATATCTCCTATAAAAATCAAGCCTTTCTTTACATGTTGCTTTTCCTCTCTTTTCTCTCTTTCTCTCGAGTGGTGGACAAAACAAGGCTAAAATGAGCCTTCATCCCATTTCTCTTTGCTATGGGTGAATTGCCCAAGGAAATGGCAACATTTCCTTTCATTTTTTCTCTCATGGGCGGATTGCCCAAAGTTTGATTATTTTATCCCTTTCCTTTTACTTCCATGTGGTTAAAATCACAAGGTAAAAAGGCTTTTGAAACCTTTT